TCAGGTTGAGAGAAGACGGTCCAGAAAAAGCACGACAGTGAAGTAAATTGTTTTGCCGCAACCCCGCGCTAAATCTGACCGCTTGTCCTCGTTCTTTTGAAGTCCGACTCTGTGAGACGCCGGTGGCCGGCGCGCGTCGGCGCCTTCGTGGAGTCCTGAGTGATGCGTAACAAAAGTCCTCAACCACATGACGGGTGATATTAATGGAGAAGTGATGCGCGAAACCGTCAAATCTTGCGTGCAATCAAAGTCGACTTGACTTCACGCCACTCGGCCGTCCGAAAGCCGTAAGCTCGTGCCAACCGAGCAAACTTATGCGGAACGCGTTTTACGTTTACGGCATTGTTGTACTCCATCGTCGTCTTTCGACCTCGATCCCTCTCGATACAGACCCATACTGGCCAAATATAGGGTGACAAGGATCATCGGAGTTCGCGGAGTGTCGGCGAATATCCAAAACTATCATCAGTGATCTGCCACTGTCATAGTGCCACAGACACGGTCGTCCGAAGGGCCGTAACCCTTTATGGCCATGTGACCGCCGCACCAGCATCCGAGCAAAGATCCATGAACATCGGCAATGGCCGTTACAGTTTTCGTCTCGTCTCTTGGTACCCATGTTCACGTCGCACAGAGGTAAAGGAATACCGTATCTCTAACCAAATCGTCTAAGCTTGTTAGCGAACACAAGGGAAAATCAATGCAAATCGCTAATTGGTGGCAATTGAGGTGTTGGTCGTACGGTGATTAATTGTTAATTTTTACGGACAACAAATCACGCAGGCCGTCGGTTTATATTACCGAGAACAGTGGGCGATTTTGAAGACCAACAGATGGCAAGCGGGCAGACCTGAGGTTCCAGCCAACGGCTATCGTAAACACTGAAGAATCTTGTTTCTGACATGGAGTTACGTAAGAGTTGCGGACGACTGTACCACCAGCTCGGCCTCGGCTACTTGTCACCGGTTTTCTGCATCTTGCTTTACACCCTCTTTGGAGCCCTGTTGTTCCTGTTCATCGAGCAGCCTCACGACCAGCTCAGACAGCAACAATTGCACAATAGCTACTTGCGGGCCAGGAGCCACTTCGTCCGGTCACTGTACCGGCTCCACACGGATTCTGCCGCCGCCAACGACAGTAGCCACCTGATACAGGAACTGTATACCGCTGTTAGCTGGTACGAAAGTCAGATAAACGTCAGTTTCACTAACGAGTCCATGTGGGATCTGTGGAACTCCCTGTACTACGCCGGAACTATCTTCACCACGATCGGTAAGCTCTTACTTGCTTCACTAATTGAACCGATTCAACGATTTACCGGTACCGTTAGTTATAGCCGCTAAGCGATATTATTCTAATTTATACTATTCCCCTTTCTAGCATATTATAGCATTCGTTTTGGGTCTGAAGTAAGATTTGCGGATTCCGCAGCGGCTAAGTTTCTTTCGCAAAAGTTTCTAGGCAACTGTTCTCTATCCCAACGGTAGTCACTGCCTCCCAACCTGGAGGAGGTAGAATATAATTATTGTCTCTCAACGTAATGTTGAGGGAACAGAACATTTGTAAGTAATTGAGACCATATTCAAAAAATATACTGTTAGTTTCGCAAATGAGGAGAGACACTGTGACCTTGAGTGGATTCCGGTTTTGTCTTGCTCACTAATGGTACGAACAAAAGTGACATCTCTACCGTCGAGACAAAGAATTACCTGATAGCAGCATTTGAACTGCTATGCACATGAATGTCTCTATTTTACATTCTCATGATTCTGGCATTACCCTGCCACATACAGGTTTGTCTTTTACGTGATCCTCTATGTCACCTGTTGTGGGGGCTGTAAACAAAACTGTCATTCCCTGGTGAAGAGCAGATGGCATGATAAACAAGCTTGAAGCATCTTAATGATTCTCATCGCCACTATCACCATTGTCCTTTCCATCATTGTCCTTCTTCTCATCTTTCTCCTAGCGAAACCCCATCATCGTCAATCGCTAAATATGCACAAAACGCTAGGAACTTCGAAAGAATGTTCCTTTGTCCGCGTACGAACAATGACAAAAAATTATCATTGTTCAAACGCTAACAAAAAAAGAGCGTTTAGGGTTACGAAACCTGCCTCTGTTAGTTACACCTTAGATTGTCTGGGGCCCGCTACCGTCTCCTGTTATCGATCTTACGGATAAAAGCAGTTCTACGCATCTCATTTAACTTAAGAACTCATCTCTGTTGACGGATTGTTTGCCGCTAATTGATCAGTCAATTATGAAACTTGTGTCAGCTGCTTCTGTGTGCCAGTTCGTCTCATTTTACTGCTTACTGAACTTCGCATTTGGCATATTTCTGTTTTGCTAATCTCATGACTCTTCTTCGTTTATGATATCTTTGCGCGTAATTCCGAAAGATGGATCAGATCTACCTGCTCCTTGATCAGTCATCGACCATTGTCTCTGTTAATGTGCAGCAACTCCACTTGATCGCGATGACCAGTCTGTCTATCGCCCTCATCATTGATAAGTCTGCACAGATGTTCACATCTCTGCTTTAGTTCATCATACTACCTGAGTCGAAGTCTTCAGATTAGCCGAATTTTGCCTCGTTGGTACCCATCCGTCATTGTTGACACCTCTCTGCTGGATCTCGATCGTGCAACATGATCTGCCAAGAGTTTTGCCCTCTGTTTAAGACTGACACATCGTCCTTCGTTCATGTGTATCTGTTGGTTTCTTCATTTTACAGCCTGTTCCTGATCTATGCTTTACGCGCCCTTCTTTTCATAGCCCGCTGCTGTATTATATATGATTTATACTCTTTTCTTGAATCAAACGCAGTCTAGAACTGCATATAGTTACTGGAAATGCTGGGCTCTAATATAATGTGCTTTTCCTCGCAGCTGAAAGGAAAAGCGCAATTAGTTTGTAATCGTTTTGGCACCTTTCTCTTTTGCACACGCATTCATGACTGAATGCGATTATCGCACCCTTATTATTATGAAATTACAGATACTGTATCCGTATATCAGTCAGGAGTGCCATTTTTTCATTTGTAAGGTTATTTCTACAGTTCGGTAGGCAGTCTTCTGTTTCTAACAAAAGAAAGTACTGATTTATCAACCTCAGAAGGAAGAAAGGCGAGTTTACTTGACTGGGTCTTTAATTCAAGACTTTTTAGTTCCGAGTCCATCGCTCTATCGAAAAGCAATTTCGATCATTCACAGCTCAGAATTCGGCGTTTTGAAGAACGGTGACGTTTCTTCTGTCGATTTCCTTAGTAAACTTCCTTAAACCTACCATTTATCCATCTTCAGACCTCTTCCAATTTGGAATAATGAACTCCGTGTCGTCCGGAGTAACCCCATCGTTTTTGGTAAAAATTCCTCAGAAAATGTTCGTTTACGTTTGTTTAATTTTGCCAGCATGCAGCGATGATTCAGACGCCATGCACCAATCATATCTCTTCGAACTTCTTTCAAAGTTTAATGACCAAATGCGCACATTCTAACTAACCGTCTTCGAACTATCACAAATTATACCGTATGGTACTCGTCGACAAAGCGATGAAATCAGAACCGAGAGGTCCCCGGTTCGAACCCCGGTCTGGTCACTAGTCTTTCTTCCTCCTGAAACTGGTATGTGAGAACCATTTTATTAGAAGAAACAGGACTCTCTGAATTAAAGTGAGAACCGTGCCACAGATAAAGGCTTGAAATGAAAATAACACACTCTTAACCTATGAAACGGACACAAACGTTTGAGCCAAATTATAAGCTTCACAAAAGATTGGGGTGCCATAAGTGACGTTCAACCGTGAAAGTGCAAGAGACCGATCTCCAGATTATTGCATACTTTTTTTTCAGTTGAGAGAAGAAGTGTTTGATGTGAAAGCTCAGTGTTTTCAAAGATTAAATGCAGTTTCGAGACCTAAGCCATAGTTTTAAAAAGAATGGGAATCACTACGATTTTAGCAGCGGCCTGTGGAGAGAAGAGTGTATAATTTGTATGTATTGGTCAGGAACAGGCTTGGAAATTATGGCTTATATTGGAAGCTGTTACACTCTTATACTCGTACTCGTTTTGCCCATTTTCTCTCACGCTGACTTCAATACACACATGAAACGTTCCTTGCCTCATTAGACTAGGATCAGATGAAGATCAGTTTGTCTGAACAAATACGTCGTACCCATAAGAAGGGAGGCATATTCAGTCTTTTCTGGAGACTAGTGAATTTTGAATCCCAGGGTTGGATTCACAAGTGACGACAATCTTGAATTAGAGAAAGCACTTATGGATCGATGATTTAAGTGCAGTGGACCGTTCTGGGGTGATAAAAAAGGAGCTGAGCCGTGGTGTGAAGTTATCCGTCTTCACGCCTGTCCAGGCACGTGCCCCCCCATTTATGGTCATAACTACTAGATATTTTTCTGAAGAGTGTGATTTCACATGCAAGCGGCAATAATTAGTTATCTTCAAGGGAATGCTGGCGTGATGAGGTTCGACATGGCTTGGGTTAAGGAAAATCGAAATCGTTTCCTTCTGCAGATTACAGAAATCACTATGGCAATAGTTTGCGTATGAGATCAGAATGCAAGAAGCATCTTTTTGGAAAGGCCATTTGAAAGACTACCAGGAGGTAGACTGACGACCAGATAGCCTTATTACAGAACTCAGTCGCAGCATGAACGGCAGATGGAAAATCAGAGCCATTAGAGACGCTGCCGTAAGGGACCGCTGACGTAGCTCAATACAGAAAGGCGGAC